GAGAGGAGCAGAGAGGTCCAGATGATGAAGAGGGAGAGGAGCAGAGAGGTCCAGATGATGAAGAGGGAGAGGAGCAGAGAGGTCCAGATGATGATGTAGAGGGAGAGAAGTACAGAGCTGCAGAGGAGAGGGCTGAGGCAAGGCTTTATTCAGAAGATCCATCCGAATGGCCTTTACCACACAAAATGGGGGACACATTTAGGCAGTACATGGTTGAAAATGGCCCACAGAAAGTTTCTGATGGTCCATATCCAAGATCAGAGAAGAATAAGAGGTGTTTTTCCAAAGCGTACTGTTTTCGTATACTGTCTAATGGAGAGAAAGTTGAACGAGATTGGTTACTGTATTCCAAAAATACCAGCAGAGTCTATTGTTTTGCGTGTAAGCTTTTTGGTGAAGCTAAAGTTTCTGATACATGCCTTGTGGCAGGGTACAGTCTGGCGATGTCTTTCAAAAACACTGAAGCACCATGAAACCAGTAGTTCTCACATAAATGCTTATCTGATGTGGAAAGAAATGATATCTCGCTTACGCCTAGGTAAGACTATTGATAGTGAACTGCAGAGAACCATGGCAGCTGAAAAAGCATACTGGAGAAGTGTGTTGACTCGAGTTATTGACTGCATACTCTTCCTTGCAGAGAGAAACTTGCCACTAAGGGGGAAAAATTCTCAGTTAGGAAATCCTAAAAATGGAAATTTTCTGGGAATCCTTGAGCTCATTGCACGATATGATGTCACACTGGCAGAACATCTTAGAAAGGCAGCCTCCAAACAAACCACTGGATATCTGACATGGTGCACTCAGAATGAATTTTTAGATTCAATATCAGAGTGTGTTTTGGGTAAAATATCTGCCTAGATCAAAGCCTCTAAGTACTTTGCAGTGGAACTGGACTGCACACCTGATATTTCAAAGCAAGAGCAGGCCTCAGTCATTATTCGATATATTGATACTGATGAGAAGAAAAAAGTCACTATTGCAGAGTCTTTTGTGGGGTTCACTGCTGTGAAGGACACAACTGGGAAAGGCCTCACAGATACACTAACAGGGGTTCTGGAGAGTCTGGGGTTGGATTTGGCTAATTGTAGAGGGCAAAGTTATGACAATGGCTCTAATATGAGGGGAATAAACAAGGGTGTTCAAGCTTTAATACAACAGAGATGTCCAGAGGCTTTATTCATCCCCTGCTGCAGCCACAGCCTGAACCTTTTGTTATGTGATGCAGCCTCATCTAGCAGAGAGTGTCTCACTTTTTTTGGCACTGTTCAAAGATTGTACACAATCTTTTCGTCTTCTGTGAAGAGGTGGGACATTCTCACAGAGTTTGTCGACATCACACTGAAGCCTCTGAGTGACACCCGGTGGGAGGCAAAGCTAGACTCTGTCAAAGCTATACGTTTCCAGATGGGGGGAATTTTAGATGCACTACAAAAGCTTGGAGAAGTGGCAGGAGACAGCAAGATTGTCTCAGAGGCAAAATCACTATCTGATGAGATTGTCAGTATGGAGTTCCTTGTGTGCCTCATAATTTGGTATGCCTTATTATGTGAGATCAACTTTGCAAGCAAGGCACTACAAGCAGCAGATGTGTCAATGGACACAGCCATTAGGCTAATCGAGTCTCTGAAAGAGTTTTTGCTCAAATATAGAGAAGAGGGCTTTCAGAAGTCACTTGACATTGCAAGCAAAATAGCCATCGAAATGGATGCTTCTCCTAAGTTCAAAGAGAAACGACTTAGGAAGCAAAAGAATTTCCCAGATGACAATTCATGCACTGGTCATCATGAAAAGGAACCCACAAGGCACTTCAGGTGCATGGTTTTCAATGTTATTGTTGACACACTCCTCCAAGAGCTGTCTGAGAGGTTTTCCAATTTTCAACTTGTGTCTGAGAAATTTAAATTCATCACTAAAATGGAGCACATGACAAAAGCTGAGCTGGAGGAATCAGTGACCACATATGCCCTGACCACTTGTGATGTTTCAAGAGATATCATTCAAGAAATATACCCAGCAAGCCGTCTACTGAAGGGTTACAAGGCTCTAGAAAAGTTAAATTTCCTAATTCAAGAGGACCTTGATTTGGTATTTCCAAATTTGACAGTAGCCCTTAGAGTATTTTTAACCATGCCTCTGACAGTTGCATCTGCAGAGAGATCATTTAGCAAGCTGAAGCTCATCAAAACATACCTTCGTTCAAATATGAGCAATGATCGCTTGTCCCAGTTAGCAGTGATCTCTATTGAAAACAGTGTGGCACGGTCTATTTCATTTGATGTTATACTTGACAAATGGGCAAATGCAAAGTCACGGAATGTAACAGTTTAAATGTCATAAATGTTAAAACTCTGACATGGACTCCAGGCTGTTAAGATGTCATATTTCCGCTACATAAAATGTTGAGCACTGACTGAGTACCACTACTGTTATATATTTGTACTTTATAAAACTTCTTATTTGTTTATGATTGAAATGATCACCTGATATAATATGTAACATAAAAAAAATCTGTAATATTACTACTGTATTTTCTAAGTGCATGACTAAGCTGTATGAGGCGGCAAGTAAAAAGGAGCGGGTGGGGGGGGCGCCGATGATGTGTTCGCATCCACCTCAAAAATATGTAGTTGCGCCCCTGCCTGTGACTATTAAGGCACTTTACATAAAGAAATACCATTTAAGCATTATATATTAACACACAGTTTGTAGGTTTTAACTCCCTAAGAATGTTTTAAACTGTTTTTTATATAAAAAGCCTTGTGATTAACAGTTCTTTTTTTTTTTCCAGAAGTTAAAATAAACACATGAGATGCCAATATTCACACACCAGGGGGCACTGCAGAAAAGGAAAAAAGGTATTTGAACTGAATTTAAAAGCAGTAAAAGAAACAAACACCAGATTTGTTTTTCTTTGAGATTATTCCAAATTTAAAAAAAAAAAAAAACTTTGGAAAACTTCAGTCCTTCAAGAATAATTATTTTCAAAACTTGCTTTTTTTTCCCAAAGAGCCACAGAAGAAAAGAGAAACAAGTGCTGCAGTGAGAAGCCCAAGGCTATGAAAGAGGTTTTGAGATTATGAAACACACAGCTGTGAAGGAGCATGACATCACTGCTTCTGGCTGCACCGCATCAGAAAGCAACGACAGAGATGGAGGACACCCGCTCCCCTCCCAGTGCCACAGAATATCAAAACTGAACTATGGTTATGTGAACAAACTCGGGCACGTCAAAAGCAAACCTTACCGTTCTGCTGCTGCATCAGTGCCTGGTTGACTGCAGGTGGGGGAACAATGGAGGGTGGAAGTGGTTCTGCAGCTTGGTTGTACTGGCTGGGACGGGCTCGAGTGGTTCCTACTGCTGCAGCTGAGGAGCACACAGTTTACTGAGATTACTTAATGAAGGTCAGAAGGGTCATTTCAGCCAAAATATGAAGAAAAACAACCTGGAAGAACAGAAACCTTACGTGCACTGACCTCTCTATACTCATCATCACTGTTTAAAAAAACTCAAATATTTATAAAGAAGCAAAAAGTAATTAGTCTGTTTACAGAAACATAATTGTTCCATTTCATTAAATTGCCTTTCCTCCTTATTTTTTCAAACAACTGTGGTGGCCACTTTGAATTGAATTGACTCCAGTTGTTAATAAGATGTAGATCTATATCCAGTTATTACTTTCTGAATGTTTTACTAAAATCCATCCTATGTTTCTTGTGATCATTTGCAAACAGACAAACTAACACATCTAAACATCCACACATAGAGACTCACACACAGAGACAAGTTCAAATATTATTAACCAGTTAGTTAGAGCCTTTTGAGCTTTAACTAATCCAGAATTCAATGAATCCATCCAATATCTGCCACTTGTTCGAGAGTTGGGTCACAAGAGTAGCAGCTTGGGCAGGGAGGCTCAGACATCTTTTTCCACAGCCACCTCTTGCAGCTCTTCAAAAGGATTCCAAGGTGTTTCCAGACCAGGTAAGAGAACGTAGTCTCTCTGGCAAGTCCTGTGTCTTCCTTGGGTTCTCCTTCCAGTTAGACACGCCCAGAACAGGGGCATTCTTACCAGATGCCCAAACCTCCTCAACTGGTTACTCTTGACATAACGGAGTAGCAGCTCTACTCAGAATCTCTCCTAAATAACTGAACTTCTCACCCTATCTCTAAGGAGAAGCCCAGTGACCCTGCAGAGAAAACTTATTTTACCGCCTGCATTAGTGACCTTGTTTTTTCTGTCACTACCAAGAGTTCATGACAATAGGTGAAGGTAAGGACGTAGACCAACAGATAAACAGAGAGCATCGCCTTGCAGTTCAGCTCCCTTTTCAACACCATGGACTAGCACAGAGTCCATAATACTGCGACACTGATCTGTCTGTCGATCTTAGGCCCCATTTTTCCCTCACTCAAGAACAAAACCCAAAGATACTTCAATTCCTTCATTAAGGCAGCATCTCACTCTCAACCCAGAGAAGGCAGTGTCCACAATTTTCCGACTGAAGACCATGACTTCAGATTTTGTGGTGCTGATCCTTATCATAGCTGCTTCACACTCAGATGTGAACCACTCTAGTGAGAGCTGGAGATTACAGCATGATGATGCTAACAGAACCACACTTTCCGCAAATAGCAGAGATAGAATCCTAAGGTCACCCAACCAGACCTGGTCTGCACCATTGCTACCTGTATATGGAGAAATTCTGTCTATTAACAGAATTGTGAAAACAAGCAGCCCTGGTGGAGCCCAACTCTCACCCTAAAGTGGTCCAACTTAGAACGCACAATGCAAACCAGACCTCTTGCAATGTTTGTCTAGAGATTGAATGACTTGAAGTAATGAAACCCCAATCCTATGAGCAACCCCCAAGATATACCCCAGAAAACTTGTTTTAATGTTTTTATCAAGTCTGCAAAACACATAGACTGGTTGAGCAAACTTCTATGCCCCGATCAAGAAATCAAGCTGGTTCAGTGTTCCAACGCTGAGACAGAACCAGTGGTTAATTTGAGCCGGATCCTGCCGGAACAAGTTCCAGGAACTCTCTCATTTCGACCCATTGTGTTCTACCGACTCTTTGATCAGATCTGTCAACTCTGCCCCTAAAAGTTCAAAGTCATCACACATTTTTATTTTGATTATTTATTAAAAATACAATGAGAGGAGACGTTGCCTTTAGCCCAGCAGACCCAGTCTGTGGAGTGGATGTTCCAGCCGCAGCACGCACAGCGCACCAGCTACATACTCCTTTGAGGAAGAGAGGAACCTATAGGCAGGGGGAGTGAGGATGGAGGGACAGATGGTCACATTTACACACGGAGGTTCTTCTTCTCTCCTCCTCCTCTCAGACCCCGAAACAGAAACGATCATTTACTCAACAGAATAAATAAATGCCCTGTGGACAGTGCATGTTATACACAGCCTCTCCAGACAGCTCTACACAGCGTGCGCACATAAGCAGGTGTCTGAACTCCTGCTACATTTCAGACATAATAAATTAAAAAAAAAAGCTTACTGTAATATATATATATATATATATATATATATATATATATATATATATATATATATATATATACACACATATAAATATATATTTGTCAAATAACAACAGCGATCAAATCTGATCCAACTCATCAGCAGGTGCTAATTAGTTTAAATCTCAGCTTCTCTCTTTGCTTGAGTGACTAAAATAGCCTGGAGGACAAGACTTTCACATCTATCCTCACCTAAGGTGTTCTGCTGCCATGTGCGTGTGTGCATGAATGAACACCCTAATGTTTGTTATGGACAAACCTTTACTAGCACAAAAATCTAACAACTGAACACCACTCTTGTTCTGATCAGAGGCCGTACCTCACATTCAAGCCTATCTAAGTTAGATCATCGCTACCCATGTCAGCATTAAAGTCCTAAAGCTGAATGATTGAGTTCCCAGCTGGAGCACTCCTTTGAGTACTTAGCACTAGAGCCCGACCATTATTTCAGTAGGGCTGATAATTTAGGTCGATATAGACGTTTGGGGACCTATCAGTATCAGTAATAACTGTCCCATTATGGACCAATATAAACACTTCTAATTTTCACCCCTAAAATGCTGGGAACCAGCCATAATTGTACAATGTATCCTGCAGAGCGTGCAAGCAGACTACTTTTAAGTCATAGGTTTCACTTTTTGCACAGCTGAAGCAGGGAGCAATACTGTGTTGTGTATTTTGCTGAACAGAGCATAGTAAGTTCATTTTAACTGATCTGTAAATTTAAAAAGTCAACAATAATAAATTCTCTTCAATCCTCCAACTCACTTGTTATTAGATACGTGCCTCTCAATTTAGCAAGATAATGTTTTGACAACCTAGCATAGATTATTACCTTGTAAAACTTTAGCCAAAACAATAAATCTAACGGGGTGAACTGGGTGCCGGCCCTCTTCCTCGTCGACAGTCATGTCAAACTGGTTCAAAACCAACAAAGTCCATGCTCAATAATCCAGGTATACAATCCAACAATTTTCAGTCAGGTCATCTGGACAGTTTCTTTTTTTGCTGAAACGTTTCACCTTCCAACTGGAAGACTTCATCAAGCAAGGAAGCACAAGAGGGCCGGCACCGGAGGAGGGGGCGTGCCAAAGAGACCATCTTAGCACCAACATAACTGGTTTGTTCCACTTTGGAGTAAGCTTTTTGGGGAAGAATCAGTTTTGTTTTGTATGTTTCCTTGACTGATGAAGCCTTCTGGATAAAGGTGAAACATTTCAGCACAAAAAAAGAAACTGTCCAGATGACCTGACTGAAAATTGCTGGATACACCAACAACTGTTCAACAGTGTCACTGAAGCAGCCACTGCACTAAAGTCAACATTTTATGTGAAAATGTTCAATAAGGAGATAGCTACCCCACCTGGTGTCAGTCAACTCAAACTTAAACATACCTCTGTTCTCCCGTAGTGCATTTTCAGGTTTTGGTATTGCTGTGGTTCGTCGGGCCTGAAAGAGAACAAGTCAAGTTATGAATAAAGAATAAACAAACATACATTCTTTTATTTGTTTTAAACACACAGCATGTACATAGGCTACAACAATTTCTCATGGATAACATTTTTACTTTAAGTATTAAAATATTGACATTTTGAGGGGATTTAAGATGGCCCTGGGCTGATAAGTCACACTCTGCTAGGCTCTCGTTAACTCTGTTTTTAAAACCTGCCTTTTATAATGATATTCGTGCAGCCCCCATGTTGGATTCTTCTGAGATTGGTATTGACGCTGGATTGAATCGACAGAGCTACAATATGACTCCCAAATTTAAGAAACCAAAGGCTGCGGGCTCTGTGGCCGCTGGTCCTAATACAGCCTCGGACCACGGTTCTTCTGGAGCAGGAGAATTGGCTCCACCCTCACCGGGCTCTAGAAAAACCGTTGAGTCGGTCCTGAAGTCAGACATTCTGGCTTCAATAAAAACCAAATTTTCGGCGATAATTAGGTTGGAGATGAAGGCTGCTCCGGCAGATGATTTTAACTTTATTAAAGGTGAGCTCCAAGCAGTGAGGACAGAGGTAATTAACAGCATCATGGCCCTCAGAGCGGAAATTGATGAGGTGAGACCGAGTGTGAAGGAAGCTAATGACGGGCTATTTAACTGGTGGAGGTTCTGCATGGTACCATGGCACAATTGAGGAACAAGGTGGATGGGCTGAAGAGGAGGTTTGAGACCATGGAAGGGCATATGAGAAGGAGCAACGTTACGATAATAGATGTTCTTGAATCGCTGGAGTCAAGTACCCCAACAGCCATAGCTAAGACGCTAACAGAAGTGATGAAGCTGAGTAAACCACCACTAATCGAGTACTCGCACTGGATGCCGAGCAGGAGGATATCCGATGATAAACCAAGGTGGTCAAACTGCATTAATACCAAGACTGTGTGGAGATATTACAACACGAGCACAGTTGTGGCCCGCTTTATTTCAAGGAATCATCAATCATCATCACTGCTGACTACACTCCAAGTGTAGCAAAGGCACGAGCAGTGTTTACGGAGGTAAACAGACTCCATCTGAACCAACAAGAAGTTTATTACGGTCTTCTTTTTCCTGAATGGCTTCGCATCACACATGGAGGGACGAACCAAGTGTTTGTCGACTTGGAAAAAGCTATGGAATACGTAAGGAGGAATATAATTTCAGCAATAGTCAGCGAAGATTGAAATAAACCATCAAATCAGCTCCCCTCAACCAACATTCTTCTCAAGCTTATGTTTGACAATATTTGGCTGTTTTGTCCTTTAATGGCAGTATGTACAATATTTTATTTGTGCTGGAAGGCGATTGTACAGCATTTATGCTCTGAATTGATTACTATAAATCCTGGTCTATATTGCACAACCTAATATGAGAGTGTTATTTAGGTGCACGTTTGATATTTATGGTAATATTTGTGTGTGTGTGGGGGTGGGGGTTGTTTCTTTATATGTTGTTTTTATAATTTGTGGGCAGACGGGAGCCCAGATGGTCAGACAGTGTTCTCCAGGGTAAGCACATATGTGTGGATTTTCAGTTGACAGAAGTTTTCGTTCTCTCTGTGTTCGGGTTGGAGAGAGGGGTGGGTTTATACCAGATCAACCTGTAGGGATTATTTTTACATTCTAATGGATGTCCAATAATTGTGTAAACTGGAATGTGAAATCCATTAATGGTCCAGTGAAATCTGGAAAATTATGTCACATTTGAAGCAGGTGAACACTGATATATATAATATATATATAATAATAAATAGGATAGATAAGATAGATAAGATAGATAAGATAGATAAGATAGATAGATAGATAGATAGATAGATAGATAGATAGATAGATAGATAGATAGATAGATAGATAGATAGATAGATAGATAGATAGATAGATAGATAGATAGATAGATAGATAGATAGATAGATAGATAGATAGATAGATAGATAGATAGA